GCCGCCGCCGGCGCCCGCCAGCCCATCGCACCCGGCTCTGACGGCGCTCGCCCCGCTCTGCCCCCGCGCCCGCCAATCACCGCCGCGCCCCGCGGAGGGCTAGCCAATTGGAGCCCCGCCCCGCCCCGCCTTCGCCGCAAGGCCTGCTGGGAGCTGTAGTCGCCGGAGGGCGCCTGGGTTGTTTCCCCTCAGCGGCCGGCGCGGGCAGGGTCCTCCCGCCACGTGCTGGCAACGCCCCGCACTGCTAGAGAGGGAGATGTGTGTATATCTTCCTCTGTATAGATAATATAGTTAGGTATCTATAGGTATAGCTATTTCTCTCTCTATATATGGGTCTGTATATATACATATAGAGATCTATGCACACACCTTGGCTCGTCCATAAGGTGAACCTCTGCCTCGCCTGCCCCGTCCCACTAGACTTCAGGGGGACATGCCTCAGTCCCCGCAGGAGAGAGGAGGAGAGCTAGCCCTTCTTTGTGGGCTCTTTAGGATCGAAAAAAGGAGGGGAACGAACCCCCATCTTCCATGAAGGATAGAGAGCTGGTTGTGCAGCGGGGGCAGGCTGAGAAGCCTGCTCGGGGCAATATCGCTGGTGAGTTTCAGGGCCCAAAACAAAGGTCTCTGGACACGGAGCATTTTCTGAGTATCTCAGGTTCCCTCATCAAGAAACCCTGGGAAGCGTAGGCACCCTGACCGTTCATTTTTGCAGGGGGGGGCCCACCCACAGGTGATGGAAAGTTTACACATTTCGCATGACAGCCCTCTTCCCGAGCAGGGCCCCCATGGACTCAGCACCTCCCGCAGGAACAAAGCCCGCTTTTTTGGGCACCTTCGAAAGAGAAATGCAGGCTGCGCCAGGCTGCTGTTTGGTGACCGTCACCTTTGAAACTAGAGCCCTGGGAGTCACGGGCTTCATGCAGCTAACACTCAAGCCCAAATTGGGACTACAGCTGGGCTTTGAAAAACCACCATCTTCCCGTTCCGGAGGGCTGCGTTTATCACCAGAATCAATCCTGACCCACAGGAGAGGAGGCAAGTATCCTTTTACAAGGGTCTTCAAGGTAGCAGAGCGTGTAGTTGTTGCTGTTTTCATGCCATCCTTCACATCCCATCCCAACTTGCTTTTGGGAACAGTGAGGGGAAACCATGCCTCTTTTGCACGTGGAACTATCGTTCTGATGCTTTCTGGGTTTGAATGGAGGTTTGGGTGTCAGGCCTGCACGAGTATGCAGTGAATTTATTTTTCCTCTTTGAGGGTTTTTTTTTTTTTAATCATTCAGTAAGAGGAATATGCAGGGATCAGAGCAATACCATGAGTAATTATGGTGCATTAGCTTCAAGGATAATTTGAGAGAATTAATTTTCTGATCCTAGGTTTTAGAACACAAGACCATCTCAGAGAAAGCCTAAGATCAGAATAAAAAAGTCCATGTCTTAGCATGTCCTTCTATTGCCTAGAGCAGGGTGGGCAAAATGTGGCCTGCGGGGTGGATGCGGCCTGCCAGGCCGTCCTGTCTGGCTCACAGAGTCCCTAAAAAATTAAAAAAATTAATATTTAATCTGCCCCTGAATGCCTGTCATGCAGCCCTCAGTGGCTTGCCAAAACTCAGTAAGCGGCCCTCCGCCAGAAATAATTGCCCGCCCCTGGCCTAGAGGCAACGAACCTCCATTTTTTGTGATTTTTCTCATACATCGTGTTATCCGAGACAGAGGTAGAGTAGTGGCGATTTAACTAACGAGGGGTCATGCTGAACAAAACAGAGGCAGGACTTATGTTATTACTGACAATGTTTGCTAAGCTTTGATGGTACATGCAGCTCTACTTCTATGACCAGTGAGGCATCTGGGAGCCACAGTGAAGCTCCATTTTCTTTCCCTGGTAATACCTCCAAAAGCCTTCTATCAGAGCAGTTTAAAGAACACCTTATAAGTTAGACAGACACCTTCAATAACCGTATTATTAAAACACCAAAATTGTTTACCTTGCTCTTAACACTTTGATTCTTAAAATAGAAGTAACTTTTTCAAAATCTAGTTTGTTTTTCATTAGTAAGGCCATTGTTTATTTTTGCATTCATGGAATGAAACACAGACTAGTCAAGTTTTATTTTTTGTTTGTAGTCAGGTTCACCTTCAGGTCTTCCTACTTTATCCCAATACTGGAAACACTTCAAGGTAAAGTTTAAAATCCTAGCCGAAAAACAAACAAACCTGTTTTTTCATTGCAGTTAAAAAAAAAAAAAAAATCACAGGGAATTATTTCTGCAAACTTAATTTTGTCAAACCTTGAATTTGGGGCCTAAATATATTTAATAAACATCCCTTTAACCCTCAGCTTGTTATATTTTTTCAGACTTCATATTCACTTTAAATATATCTAATCTTATTCCATGCTTCAGAGAATCAGCTTTGGGATGGAAAGGAGGCATTAGAAAGCTAAAATAGCAGAGAGTCATTAGCATCACCCATACTTTTTTATGTATAAAAGTAGTTAGGGTTTAAAAAAATTAAAAAGATCTCATCTGTCTGTCCCCAGGTTGTTGAGTCAGGCTTGCCTGCCCAAGAGGTAGATGGTCCTGGTAGCATCAGGCTATGGAGAATTTTAATTAAAATTTTCTAGCATGCGATAGGTGGCAGCTGCTTGTAAGGGACCAGGCACTTAAACCAGCAGATGAGCATTCTCTTGTTTTTTAGGTGATCACATGAGATCCCACATGAGTTTAAGCCCAAAGAAGTTAGCTGTAAGATCTCAAGAACTGCTGACTGACTGCAGACACAAAACTTCACAGATTTCATAGACAGAGCTGGAAGGGACCTCGTAAGATCGTCAGGTCCAGCCCCCTGCCCAAGGGGCAGGAAGTCAGAAAACTTGCTCATGCTCTAACTATATTGATCTTGTGGAATAGCATCTTTTTAAAATTGTTGGATGTATGCATTATACTGAAGAGTCTCTTCTTCTCCTACAGTCCTGAACTTATTAGGGATGAGCAGACTAGTTTGGAAAAACTTATTGCCCTGAACCACTTGTCCAAGTCTCAAACTGACCCCCAACTGAACCTGTAAGCAGTAACCCATTATCAAAAGCAGGAAGAGGAAGCCTCAAAATATCATAGGAATAAATGCTGTCATGATATCCCTGGACTAATGGCCTGATCAAAGGCCTGCTGCAGTCCTTGGAAAGGTTCCCATTGACTTAAGTGAACTTTAACTTTGCAGGTGTTTCAAATAAACTTTATTTAAAACACCCAGACTATTGGGAAGGCCAACATGTGCATGGAAGTCCCCCAACAGCAAGGAGCTCTTGGTCATGGGAACCAACCGAGGCCAAAGAAAAACTCTCCTATAATCCAGAAAGCGGCACTGCTGATATGCAGTGGTACCACAGATTTCAGAGGAGCAGAAATTCAGAGCACTGGCATGTGCAGTCATGGAGAGCTCAGGGGAGAAGGGCAATACAGAGAATGCAGAGGTGGTTCTAGGCAGCAGTCCCAGGAAATTCAGGGTTTTACACTCAGGGTGCAGAATGCAAAGTTCACATTTAACACATCTGTGTCCTGCAAGCCTACATCACTTCCCCTTGTGAGGGCTATTTTTGTTTATGAATCAAAGCCAGGAATGGCCTGTGATATTTCCTTATGCTTCACTTGATCAGAAAAAGCAAAATAGACTGTGATTCCTGGGTTACACAGTCCACATGCTGGGGGGGGTGGTGTTCTGGTGGAAGAGGGTTGGCAATGGTGACTAATAATAATCCTGTACATTAAGGCACCTGCCATTAAATGAATGTCCTTCTCTTCTGTGCCTAGTTGAATGTTATTTCCTGAGTTCCTGCTTCTGCTGTATTATGTCACCTGCTCCAAGAGTCCTTTGCTCCAAGTTCCAGAAGAAGAGAACAAAGGAGAGATGTTGGTACAGGAGGAATGATGGCCCCTCATTCTGCAAAGTCATTACTATCCCTGGGCAAGAGCACATAAAAGCTGCTCTTCTTACAACATAGACTGCAGAAGCTTCTTCCTAAAGGGGTGTGTAATAGGAAACAGTTCTGAAGGATTTGTTGGCACAGTTATCTTCCCCACGTGCTCACAGAGCCGTCTGGGCATCTGAATGGAACATACTTCCAAACATCTCCTGTAGGGAAGCAACAAGACAGATTGATTAGAACGCATATTGGCACAGCAGTAACAAGTGGAAAAATCTGGCAAAGTGGTTCACATAAGACGGTATCTGGCCTCACACAGGCACTCCACCTTGTTAAGAGGCTGAAAGCATCTCCCTCCACAGACTGTCTTTCATGGTTTGGACCCTCAGCTGGTACAAAGAAAGGACTTCATTTCTGCCGAAGCCAGCAAAGCTGCATTGATCTGACTTGCATGTGAGCATGAGGGGCTGACCCAAGAGCTAGTGATGGCATTTGGTTCAGGCCCAATCTCCAGATGCACCAGACTCTGGAGACCTTCATGTCTGAATTTGGACCTGAGCTGCATGGTACAGGCCCACTTCCTGTATGAACAAATAGCGTAATGCAATAGCCTGGCTGCCCACCTACTCAGGTGTCCTGTGACAACAGCCAGGACTGGGTGTTTCCAAGGAAGGTATGACCCATTTAATCCCACAGTGTGCAATACCCATTTTGGGGCTGGGACAGGGAGGGCATTTCTACTTCTGTACTTAAGAATGAAGCTTAATAGCCTCTTTTCTGTGCATGGATTAATAAAGACAGCAGACACAGAAGCATGGGATGGGGGAGCCTCGCTTCAGAGGACAGAAAGTCTTATGGCAGGAGACACTTGCTGCCATAGGCTGTTTCTGTGTGGTCTATGCTGTGCCCAGAGTCACAGTCTGTCAAATAAGGCTAACATTCCCTTCTCATGCATTTTGCCAGTTTTATCTATGTACCAGTAGGTTTTAAGCTTCATGGGGTAGGGGCTTACCATAGTGAATTGGGATTACGTATTTCTACCACAACACAGATACCAAGAATCTACACCACATTCCAAAGGCTATTCCTGCAAAAAACTTCTAGAACTAGGTCTTCCCAGTCCCCTAGGTGTTTGCTAGGTCATAGCATTTAGCACACCTGGTCTAATCTACCCTTGCCAGGATTTAGGATTGCCGCTTTATTTCTACAAGGGAGTAACTGTCCCCTGCTCCTGTTACTCACTTCCTCCAAGTTCTTGAATTCTGCACTGCTTTCATCTGCAGACTCATCATAGATAGAGAGTTCTGTCTGAATCGGCCTCTGCAAGAAATCAACCATCAGTGATTAGCGGATGCAGGGCTACAAGGAAGGAAAATGCAACTCACCTGAGTTTCAGACCTATAAAGGTGTCCTTTACGGTTTGGGAATAGAGTCACATTTGACCGCGTTATTATCAGGTGTAGGCCTGAATTAAAACAAACACCACATCCAAACACCAGTGAAGGGGATATAGAAAACAACTGTGCAGTAATAATTGGTCTGGTTTTTATTTGTCCTAAAGCCAATTTACGCTCTCCTTGGAATTATAAAGGACATTTACACTGACTTTATGCCCACATCAGTCAGCCAAAGGGGTATCAAGGGACACTAGTATAAAGCAGAATCTGGTCCATTGTCTTCTGGACAGTTTCCTTTTGATTAAAGCCATGTTCACTCCAGGGTGAAACTGTATTTTCCAAATTCAAGGGCTCAACCCAGGGCCCACCCTGATTACCAGCGTTCCTGTAAAAATCCTCCTCCCAGTCAGCCACCAGCACCAAACAAAATCCTTCTTGGCACAGTTAAAAGCCAGTAGTTTCCTTGTCCCACATCTCCTTTGAAGGTAGCAAGTTTCACCTTCAGCAAATCTCCCAAAGACAAATAGATTTTGTGCAGCAGCGATAAGGTAGGTCCTCCACAGCATCAGCTCAAGGCTGGGGCTGCAGAGGCCTTATCGATCCTAACAATGTAAATAGCGGTTGGGAGCAGTGCATTGCCAAATGCAGCTGGGTACAGTGTGAGTTGGAGAAAGGTCAGAACCTTGGGGCCCTGTTTTTAGGGAGATGAGAGGTTAAGCTGTGAGATCAGTATCAGCAGCGATCATCTAAAGCTGCACATGCCTGTCTGTCTGTCTCAGTTCATAGACTGAGGCCAGCACTGTGACAACTGATTGTTTCCCTTCCTCTGGAAGAAGTGCAGAATAGCTCAGGGTGGTATGGCTATGTGAATGTGGGGAGGTGAACTAGGGGGCAAATGGATAATGTCTGTGTTCTGTCTAACCTTGCAGTTAAATGCAAGGTATTCTGTTCCCTTTCAGCAAGGGATTCTCTGCCTTACACTCAATGCAAGGGAAGAGCCTACACACGGAGGGTTACAATGCTGTATCTGACGTGCAGCAAGGTCACACCCCAGAACCTCTCACAGTAACCTGCTCAGGGAGGCGTACCCTCCTCGTCCAACTAGGAGTGCCGTTTCATCCACTCCTACCCAACACTCCTGCTGAGGTTGAAATATATGGGGAGACAGGGCACAGAGGGAAGCAGGATTTTAGTAACCCATCTTCCCTGCCTGAGTTGTGCGCACACATGCAGTGGTAATACAGGCAATTTTAACTTGTTGTCATGCGATAATGTGGTCACATGGCCATTGTTTCTATCTGAGTTTCTATGCAATTACCAGCCAATGTCTTAATAAATAACCTGTGTCACCGCTGTATTTACAACATGTGCCACATAGCTGCCCGTGCCTTTTCTTCCCTCTCACCAGGCCAAGCACTAGTGCATAGTGGAGCTAGTCAAGTGGAGACAGACATGTTCTGCCTCTAGTTTCTATGGGCTGAATTCTGCCCTTGTTTGTTTCTGTTCATCCCAATTCCTTTCCAGTTATAGAGTTTGTGTTATACAGTTATTTAGTTACCCAGTTATACAGTTTCACTCCCAGTTATACCTGTATGACCCTCTTGACTCCATCAGGCTTTGCCAATTATCCTTTTTTGAGTCTGGATGATACATTTTAATGTCTACCACTTAAGATAATCAATTAATTCCATCAGGTACAGCAGCAGAAGGCTGTTATCGTCCCCTGTGACTCAGCTGCTAGAGAAAGACTTGCAGCTCCCACTGATGCAACGGGTTATGCTTGCATGGGTGTAACTAAGTACAGAATGCAGCCCTACAACTCTGCAGTCTCCAGGTGGCTAGTACCTCTTCTAAGATGGGAAGATGGACGACTCCTTTCATGTTGGCCAGTGCAAATAAAACAGCATCATGGATGGTCAAGAAGATGTGACTGCGGTCTAGGCCTCCTTCTTCAAAGACTCCACCTGTGCTAATGTCATCAAATACCTGAGCTGAAGAAGGGAAAAATATATGAGGGAGGAAGGTGCCACAGAAGGAGCCACTTGAAAGGGAACACAGCAGATGCTAATTTCTTGAACTGTAGCACCCTTTTATGGATAGAGGCCTCAGAGAATGAAAATGGTCCAAAGCAATGGGAACACAACACACTCCTGTGGAGTGCTAGCAAGTAGTTCATGCATCACCAAGATCCCATTCTTGTCGATGCACTTGCGTGGGTGTAAATGAAGGGAAGAACTTTTTTCTCTCTGCTGTGGTTGATTTCTGGGCTCAGGTTTGAAATAAAGTAGCTTAAAGGTCCAAGCAAGAGAAAAGGGAACTGCACTGGCATTTCTAGGAAGTTTTCAGGAGTATGTGGGAGAAAATGCAGGAGAAGGGTCTGAGTTTCCATTATCCTGGAGTAAAAGAAGAGGAGTAGTATTTTGCAAGTGTGGCAGATCATAAGTGCAATGGCATAAAAATGGCCAGGGAACTTAAGAGCAAAGAAAGTAGAGACAGAGTTTTGTTATTGCTATTGGTATAGCTATTATTTTGGGTGCAAACTGTAAGCTACTACAGCCGTATCACCCCCCTAATAAGATCTTTGTTTTAGAAGTACTGACAGTAGCCTTGCCCCCTTAGCTTTTCCATGTCCTCGTTCTAATTTGCTCCATAACATCAATCATACATTACTACAGACAACAATGGAGCCCAGGCAATTCGAAGTGTAAACCTGTCCCGTTGTGGGCAGATAAACTTGCACATTTATAACCATAGGCCACAGCTGATGAGAACACAACTGGCTTTGAAATAAATGTTTTCAAGCAGAAAAAAACCCCAGCACAAACCTCAGACACAACCTAAATCCCTTCTTTTCATTTTGGCTCTGTGTAGTAAAAAGGATCTGTAAACTCTTTCTTCCTGCGACAAATAGGCTTTGTTCTCCATAGCCCTGTGCTATGAAAATAGTAAGCATGGAGCAGCATGTGATGGAAACCCCATGACTTAAGAAGTCTGATCCTTGCATAGGGGGTCTGATAGTAACATGGGTGGAGGGATATACCACAGGAAACATTCCTCTAATCACAGGAGAAGAGCTAATTGAAGAGAGAATTTTCCATCCCCTATTTATTTGATTCTCTGCAGTCTCTCTCCATCCTTTCCCCTGATCTTAATATTTGACTTCATTGCGAAGCACACGATCAGAGCCTTTGCAAAGGCTGGCCCTGTTGGCAGTTAGTGCAGGTCACAAAAATGGAAAAAAGAAATCATCACTGTGCCCATCTCTCAGACGTTGCAGGAAGCCCATAAGGAAATGTATTATGCTTGGATTCTTACCATGGACATTTGCCAAGAAAACTTTAATCCCAATCTTCTGATAGCTGGAGCACAGCTGGATGTGGAGACAAAAAGAGAGGATTAATAAGGATGATTATACATTGGGCTTCTGCAGGACTTTTTATCTATGGCTCTGCAAGTTCCCAGGAGTTGTGAATGAATAATGTCCTGCAGGCTCCAGTGAGGAAGGTAGATATCTCCACCCCCACTGCAGAGGAAATGTAGGTACTGAGAACTAACCTTCCCCAGAGCTTTTGTCCCCATCAGGTCTACAAAACACACTCCACTCATATCTAGAATAATGGTGTGGAAGCTGACGTAGGGTGGTGCTGTGGTCATGGGGTCCACAGTTGGCGCAGGGATAACGCTGCAGGTACTACTCCGAAGGCTAGAGGTGCTGCCCAGCTCGCTCGAAGCATTCACTTGCCCAGCGTGGTTGGCAGGGGGGCGGAACGTAATGTAGGAGACACTGGTGCCGTTGGCAGCCGTCTGGTTGTTGTTGGTGTCCGTTGGGGATGTGCTTTCAAAATCTTTCTGGAGCTCTTGCAAAGACAGGGTCTGCAGCAAGGCAAAGGCACAAGATCATCTCTCCTGCCTGGAGCTTGCCAGACACAAATACTCCTCCTGAACTTGGAGCATGGCTTTCAGGGCAGTAGGCTGGGCTCCAAGACCCTGTCACAGTCATGTACCTATGGCATCTCAACACCAGCAAATCCCAAGAGAGAGATTCTTAACTGGTGCAAATCAGCATAATTTCCTTGAAGGAAATGCAGCTGCTCAGATTCATGGCAGCTGAAATTTTCTCCCCATTGCAGTTTGCAACAGGATGGATATATTTTGGGTTGCTGCCAGGTGAAGTTGGAGAGAGGCTCGCACTCACTAGGTATGCTCCATCTCGGTCAGTTTGGCTGCATTAATGGACCCTTCTCCTTGGGCTGGACTCTTGGGACATGCCCACCCTTCTTCCAGTAGTTGACACAATCCCAATTTTTAGCAAAATATTTACTCGGTGGGTGTGTCTACACATGCCCCTGACTATGCAGTAGGTACTGCGCAGTCCTGGTGGCACATGGGTCATTATTTACTCTATTGCGCAGCAGTAGTGGCATCATGGTTAGTGCCCACCAATGCTACGTCACCACAGTGATAAGCTATGTCGCTGTAGCTCGTTGCTACGGCAACTCAGTATCTCACGTAGATGTGCCTTGTTTCTATTTTGCTTCTTCCACCGCTTTCCTGCTCCACTGACTCCAATGCAGTTCCTAGTTCCTTCCAAGAAGTTGCCCCTATATTTGGCAGAAGTAAGGCCTCAGCTATGGCAGATGAGCAATAGGTGCTGGTGAGGTCATTTTGAGGGTTCAGGTCAAGACTAGCTAAATTAATAAGCCTGGGAAGATTAAGATCAAGATCCCTAGTCTAACCTCCCACATAACGCAGGCCAGGGAGCTTCACGCAAGGATTCCTGCATTCATATTTATTTAAATGACTGAGCTAGAACAAGAAAACAATTTTAGAAAAACATCCATCCATCCCTCCCTCCTACTTCCAATACTTTATCAGGCCAAATTCCTCCTGGAACACTATCGAATATTAACGGAGGTGCAGCAGGGGTACTAGGCCTGTTTTTTTATTTTTTCTGAAGTACGGAAGATCAGCTAGTTTGTCAAAGACCATCAGCATTTCAAGTTGACAGCTTCACAATAAAAAGCGTAGTCAGAAGTAGCCCAGGGCACCTCCTTCAAAATGGCATTGATCAGCAAAATCAAAATAACCCAAAATCAAAGTGACCCAAGAAAAGGAAAAAAGAAGAATAATTATAAAAGAGGAATAATCCTTAAAAAAAAAAAAAAATAATAATAATAATAATAATCCAGCAGTAATTGCAGTATAAAGCCTGGCATGCTGTCCTTGTTGTTGATGATAATTTGCTAGAAGAGATACAAACTGGAAAAGGTATAACTAAACTGGCAACAATATACTGAGGCTCGTAAGAGTGCGTTGTAGAATTAACTAATCACCTGCTATGCTGGACCACTTGCCTGTAGTTATCCCAGAGTCCTGTACTGTACAGTGCTGCAGTAGGAGATACTGGCAGCATGATTTAACCAGGTTGTCTGAAGAGCAGCAACAAGCCAGTTGCTCTGTTTGTGCTTGAACTAGCTACCCTGCAGGTTTCTTTAACTGTTCTGGAGATGTGCCAGCTGCACATAAATTACATTTAGATTTTTTTTCCCCTTACAGTGGCATCTTAGTATAGAAGAATTCCAGCTGGAGATGATATACTGTTTTTTTTATCTGATCAAATTAAAAACAATTAATTCCTTTTAAGCATAGGATTTATATTGCTGTTTTAAATTACCGTACTTCTGGTATAACCCCAGCATTATTTAAAAGCGTTTTGGCTCTGAGGAGCAAGCAGATCCTGACTGTCAAAATAATATTGCCAACCTTTCTTTACCCATCAGCCTCATTTATTTTTCCATTTTGATTTGGTTATTATAAGCCAGAACAGAATTTGTAAAGCCCCCTTGGTACAAATCATGACAAGGTCTAGAGAGCCAGAGGTGTATCTTGCTGTGTTTACTTACATATATAAGGTTTAATGTCATATGGACAGAGGTGCTGGCATATGGCTTTACCTTGGAGGAACAATTGCTCAACTGTACAGTTTAGCTAGTGGTGGACAACCACTGAATTAACAACTCTTGTTTTCAGGGGAAGAAAAATACTGTGTGGCAAGGGAAATCACTCCAAACACAGAATAATACAGGATTGCTGTCTTGCCTGGGTTTTGCTTCATCTCTAAACAACCTGTGATGGTAAGTGGCAAGATACTGTAATTGAAATAAGTAATGATATCTTCAAATGTATTTGGTGCAAAACCAAGGGATTTTAGTAATCCCTTCATCAAATTATTCCAATGAATCAGGTTATATTAATGAAACATTTCATCTGCAATAAATTTGACATTTGTTAAATAATGCATATATTTAATGAACTCATTAAAAACAACAGCAGCAGCAGCAGCAGCAACAGTAATAAAAATAGGCAAACTTGCTGCTGTGCACAATCAGTACTTGTGACCATGAAATTCATGCACTTCCCCAAATTTCCTAAATTGTGTTTGTGGTTTCTTATTTTAATACCAGTCAGTTCAATTATCACACTTCTCTATTTCTTATAACTTTCTCTTGTGATCTCATGATCAGTGGCACCCAGAAGAGGTTAGACACCCAGACATGTGGCTATAGAAAGGATATATTACCTTGTTCTTCTTGTATAAGAATTTCTGTAGCTTTGTTGGCTGGTGTACGGTTGCCTTCTCCTGCTGTTTCACATATTTCTTTCTGGCTAAGTACACTTTTCCAGGATCCACCCCTGTCTGTGGAGAAGAGGAGACAGTTAGTCAGGTTTACGTGTGGGGATTAGCTGTGGAAGACCTGAATGCAAGAGCCTCATGCCTATATGCAAGTGGCATAAAGGGACGTAGTCACCACTCAGGCCAGCTCATGGTCCAGCCCAGGCTGCTGCTAAGTGCCCATAGCCATGTCTAGTTGCTGTCTTGTTCAAAGAGGACTTTGGAGAGCTTAGGCAGAAAAAAAACCCCAAAACATTTTGTAGAAGGTCAGACTCTGAGAGCAGGATGCCTAGAGGCTTCTGGTCTGTCTTGACTTTGGCCCCACTCTAGCTGCTTCCCTTTCAGCAGCCTGCCTAGAGCTTGGAAGGAGCAGCGTGGGGGCTGGAGTGCTGGCTGTATTGTGGCACCTCCACCACTAGTTTCTACCAAAAGCCAGTTCAGTTCCATGAGCACAGAGCGTTCTCCTGTTATTTTTCTGCACGTGACCATGAAGTGTGGCAGGATTACATTGCATCCAGCACTTTCACCTGTGCCTGGGTGAGGTGAGCAAGGGTCCCCTGTTGGCAGCTCCTCTTACAAGACAGCATACCAGTTCAGGCAGGGAGGAGGGACCTGCAGAAATTCTTCTGGCAGTAGAGATGCTAGCCAGGATTTAGGCTTATTTCCTAGCTAAGGCCAGTGATTCTCCTTACTGGGTGCAGCTACATGAGACTCTACTGCACAGTAGCGTTGGTGGGCACTAACCATGATGCAGTGCTACTGCACAGTAGAGTCTGAAAAACAGCCATGCGGGGATAGTACTGCACAGTAATGCTGGTTACTGCGCAGTCTGCTGCTCACGTAGACATGGGCACTGAGTGTCATGAGAATAAATGTTTCTACTCTCCAAAACTTAACATGCCTTCCCCATATGTTTCCTTAGGGCAGTAAGGCATCAGAGGCTGAGCGCCACTGGCTTTGGAATAAGGCAGTAGCTTTTGTTTGTAGCAGATGTTGAATGAAGATTTCTTACCTTTGCTATAACCTTCTCCCTAAATATCTCTGAGTTGGCAAAGTACAGTGGGGAGCAGTAGGTCACGATTTTTATCCCATCAAGTTCATGGACCTGCAACAGACATCTGAGTTCAGACTGTGTGTAAGAGGCTCTTGCCTGGCTCTGGGGGTTGTTATTTTTTTGCAACTGGAGTCAACAGATGGGTGAACAGGTCTGTGGATAAAGCCTCGGATCATTTTCAGTGGATCTGTATCTATGAGGAGTACAACTGCTTGCTCTCTCTGTTTAATATGCAACAACAGTAGTAATGACATCAACACCATATTGACCTCTTGGGTGAGGCAGAAGGATTTAAAACAGGGCGGATAGTTGAGGATTATGAAAGCCTCCACTGCAAGGATCAGACCTCCTACTATGACTTCTGAAAATAACAAGCCAATAACAACCCCACTGAGCTAAACCAGGTGAGAAAGTAACACAGATATTCAGCTCCTTATTACACCGGTCACAAGGGAATTGGGAACAAGGTAGTTTTCTCTTAGAGCCTTTTAACTTCCACACTTACCTTGTTGAAGGCTTTGGGGTTCTTATATATGTCAGTGGAGGTTACCTGACCCAGGGCAGAACCGTTACGACTAGAGGAAAAAAAAAAACACAACACATATTAAATGTTGAACAGTGCTAAAAATACAGCTATGCCTGGTTCTGGATACTTTGGTGATTGTGTATTTGTATTACAGTCCTGGGACCCTTCAGCCAAAAATCTGGGCCCTTTGCTGATGGATACTAATGAAAGAGAATTCGTTCTGCAGCCAAAATTCATCCTCGCACCCGAGGCCTATGCCAAGAGTTTTAAGTAGCATATAAGCCTGGCGTCAGTCCCTGCCCAGTGATGGATGCCACTCTGAGGAGTGATTCCATAGGGAAGGATTTGTGGAGATATTTTCTTGGCGGGGCAAATACCTGCAGCATTATACCTGCTCTGGAATATGCACGGGGTAACTCTGTGGACAGGAGTGGGACGCCAGGCAGTAATTAATGACTGATGTTCCTGTTTGTGCATTCCAGCAGAAGGGGAGGACACCTGCGTTTCCCCTGCGGGCACCGTTTACACATTCCTTTGAAAATCTGGTCCAAAGGTCACTTATAAAAATAACCTGAAGTGTACTTAATAACTAGAAAATATTCTGGAACTGTGCAGTCACCCTGCAATGCAGATCCCAGGGAGCACTTACAACTGAGTGTGAAAAACCACCACTAGCACAGAGAATCCCACGCCAACAGCAACTCCGTAGGGCAGGCCCAGGATGAAGGCCGACAGGAAACTCACCATCCAGACCATCTGTGGAAGGACAAGTACATGGCAAGTCACTTCTCTGTGCGACATGCAGTGGGCTCTTTCATGAAGACTTACAGGGAGAGATGGGCCTGACAAAGTCCTGAATCCAAACAACACTAAGACTTGGAGACTAAAATGATGAGAAATAAGAGAACTGGTGACTCAGGCTCATTTTTAGTTGCGGTTTGCATTCTGGAAGACTGGAACTGTTCTCTTGCGAGTTCGTGGGATCCTGGGGCAGACACACTAGAAACTCAAGTTCCTCAGCTTCAGAATCATGTTGGTTCATTCAGTCTGAAACTTCCTGTTCTTGCTAGCACAGTTTTAAAGACTAGCCTTTTGACTAGTCAAGACAAGACCTTCATTTGAAGACCAGGGCCTTTGCTATTATATAAATATGCAGTGGCCCTCTTTGAAGGCCCCTACAGACAGTCAGCATATGGAAAATATCACCGCAGAGATCCAAACATATAACAAACGCAGAAGCATCATGACAGAATCCTCATCCCTACTAATAGGCCTGATTCTGATGACAGTCAAATGAAGGGGACTCCATTGACTTCAATAGCCAAGCATCAGATTTATGATGGTACAAGTGAATGGAGACTCAGCCAAATTCTTTCCTTTACTCAGAACCTCTACACCCCCCGCCTCCAAGGACTTTTCAGGCTACACTAAATCTATACGAAGATGTTGCAGCCAGCTCGGAGGTTAAGCATGACAGCTCCCTGACATCATCTGGCCATATGGCATCATCGTTGGAGGCTAGAAACGTTGTATCCAGTTGAAATTCCAGGAGCGATTTAGGTCAGCAATTAGCCTAATTGGAATTTGGCAAGGATAATAGGATCTACATCCGTGGTGTTATAAAAGGTGCAGGGTCATATTTCATGGCAAGAAGCATCTGGGACTTTGCTTTACTATCTCACAGGTGATACAGCTTGGATCTGTGCCTGTGAGATGGCTCTGAACTGCAAGGTGGGTCCAAATCCCTAAAGCTTTTCAGAGGGTCAGATGGATCCAAGTTTCAGGTCTCTCTTGACGAGAGGGAAAAAAAGTATTTGTAAATGGGGTGAGCCAACAGGACCTGGGTGAGTCTTGGCTACAGAAAGCAGCCAAGTGTAGGCTGAGCATCGTTAGGACGGTGGCCAAGCCCAGCCTTCTTTGAAATACTTTTCCTGGTCAAAACTAACTTTTAGGCTCTGCCTAAAAGCAGGTTTCAAAAGGGCCAGGATGAAAAAGTGTTTGTACTGCTAAAGCTTCTTGCTGTTTGAAATGAGCTCTACCAGCTGAAGGCAGGTTTCAGCAGAGCCATGCCTGCACAGTGCTTCAGGTGAGCTAACCAGCTGAGTGAACCATCCTAATGAGCTCGCCTGTAGTGTTTTGCTTCCAGATCCAGAGGCTGTGGGCCTCAAGCAGTGTGGTCTGCCTGAGGGAGCTCTCCGAGCCCAAGTCCTCTGTTAATGCGCTTTTGTTAGGTGCCATATTAAGCTATTCACCCCTGCTAAAACCATGACCCAGCTCCTCTCCAGCTCCCATTTACACTGTTTTAGGAAGCCTGCTGATGACTCAGGCCAGCCCTTTTGACCTTCTTGTTTGCCAATAAACTGTTCCTTTGGAATTCCACAGGTTACTGGCCCAGTTTATACACAGCCTGTCATCAATATGAGCCCTGTTCAAACAAGGTCTTTATGTCAGACATTTCCCAATTCCAGTCTCCCACACAGACCACCAGGGAGGGTCTGTGTCAACCAGTGCCTGGTATCCTTATCTTTCCTGAAGGACTCCCTTCCCCCTGGAGAGACACTCTTCAGTTTCAAGTCATTACTCCTAGATATTGAGTAGGGCTGCTTTGGCTAGTTCTGGGGAAACAGCCTCTAAACATTAATTGGCATTTAAACTGGAGGAGGCAGCGATAGTAGTTCCGGTGTCTGTGTTACCCAGACTGTGTGCGAAAAGGCTCAGCTAGAGCAGACACATTGGCCATTTTGCCTGTATTTGTGATCTTTAGGAAACACTGATCAGCAATACATCGCAGACATTGTGCTGGTGGAGCGAAACCCAGCCATTAGCGGGGGGTCAGAGTGACAGTGCCGCACCATGCAAGTCCTATTGCAGCCTTGGTTGGAGGGCTCAGTTCATGGCTAGGCCTCTGCTAGCCTTGCACCTCAAGTAGGGGTGAGGTTTTCTCCTACTGAAAAACTCAGGCCGACTCCCCAGCCCTGTGTGGGGCTCCTGTTGTGGAGGACTCACACAATCCAGCTTGCTTTTCTTCCACAGGTAGAAGGGATCCGCCAGCTGCTTGAGGGAGTTTTTCAGGTTCACCGCTATCAAGGCTCCAAGCACAGACTGCAAAGGAAGAGGACAGCAGCTCAGACCCAACCACAGGAAAAATGTAAGTGTTATGGCCCATCACCCAATAGAAAAAAGTGCTAGCCTGAATACAGTTTTGCCTTCTCTCAGGCCTGCAGCTGAGGTGCAGCGCTAGAGGTCAGCAGTGGCTGAAGCTCACCAACATCACTCTTGAACCCGAGGCACAAGTGAATGGGTTTTATTCTCCACTTCTGCCACAGGGGTAGCAGGAGATGGCATTTCCACACTTTGCTCCGCAGTGGTTTGGTTTATGTAGGCTTTGTGCAATATGCTGCCTGGGAAGGGGCCATCTTTTTGTTCTGTGTTTGTAGACCACCAGCATTTGGGGTGGGGGTGTGGCTGGTCCACGAATACAACTGATAGCTGAATGTGGCTGCTAGCTGGTTTGTAATAAGTGGAAACAGTTTGTCCAGCACTGGATAGTAGGCATCCCAAGGCAGGAAAAAAGGCAATTGGTCCAGTATTTCCTCTGGATTGGATTTAATATCATAAACTAGATTAGGCCCAGTGTCCTCATGAGGGATTCAGTGGTTTCATGGTATGACCCAGACCTTCTCTTTCATTGTTCCAGTCCCATCATTTCACTACTCCTGAATTTCAAGTTTCCACAAGCTTAAACAAATCTCAAAAAAATCCCCCCCAGGTCTGCTGGGTTTTTCCCCTAAATTTACCAGATCCTCTTGACACTTGTTCCAGGTTCACTCAGTAAAACTTTGAGGAAAACCTCCAGTACAAGATGCATTTCATGGGGGGTGTTTAATAGAACTGCATACAGCTGTGTGATAGCTCTTACCTTAATGCTCAGTCATAGTGAGCAGGAAGGCTTATGGGATTTGGCTAGAAACAGTTGATTTGGGAAATAAAGGATGCCAGAATAAGAGGCTTAGCTGTACCCCATTGTGTCCCACAGGGGTGAAAGGTTGTGTTCCCTGCCATAGCCCCTCAGGTCATGTGTACTTACCTTTGGAAGGGGATAGAGGTAAGTCCCCAAAGACAGCATGGTTACCATAACCACCAGTGCCACAAAGAAACTTGCCACCTGTGGACAGAAAAGGAGTCAGAGGGCATTCAGGTTCTCTGAACCTTGTCACCCCTTGAACTGAGGGCCAGGGGCAGCAACTACGTATCTAGTGGCTCCAGCAGGGGCCAGGGTTCTTGCCACTTCCTCTTCCTGTCCCTCCAAGTATTTGAGTGCTATGGCCTCTCCAAGCACTTGCCCACATGGTAGGTGTCCACCTACACTCAGCATCTGAGCAATAGTACATCTAAACGATAGGGAAGTCTCCTGGATTAGCAGCTCCAGAGACTGAGGCTCTTTCCTCAGCCTGTGCACCCACTGCAGTCCATGGGAGCTGTTGATCCCGGGGGCTTTCAAGCCTGTCAGGCCTTTGCCTTTAGGACCCCTTCCATAGCCTTTAGTGTTTTGTCCCTCTCTCATGCCCACCAACAGGACCCCCAGCCATGGTAGTGTATAACAGGGTGCCTTCTCATCAGGTCTTCAGCAGCTGTCCTGCTTCTGGGGTAACCACCCACTTCGCTCGCCTGCCATGCCTTGATGGAAAAAATATGAGACTTGTTCCTAAGGCTGGAGGCTACCCATTACTTGCCCTGCTGACAGGGGCTTAATACCTGCTCAGACTGCCCCTACACAGGTCCCATGCCTCACAGATGTTACTTCTCCAGCTTATGGCCATAGCAAACTGGGAACACAGTTATAGCTCTTTTCTACAGCCTCAGAGGGCCACTCACATGCTACCCCTCTCTCACCAGGATCTCACTCACTCCACTGGCTCTCAGCCAGCCTCTTTTATACTGCCCTTTCTCCGATGCCACACTCATGCCACCCAGCTTTGGGCTTAGCTCTCCTCGGTCAGCCCTGGCACAGTCTATTGGGCATCTCCCACTACCCTCACCCGAGTACTGACTGAGCAATTGTACAACTGTAGGCCTATTTGACTCCTAGCTCCTCACCAGGCCACTATGCCTCCACTAGGCCTCCTTGCTCACCCCACTCACAGGGGTGCTCTGTTCATCATTTCTCTCACACAGGGTCTCTCTACTCATTGCCCCTTTCACATGGGGTGTGGCTTACACCCCCAGGCTTTCCTCTGCCACCTGGGTGCAGCCCCAGGTCCCTCCTCCAGCCTGAGCTCTGCTTCAGGGTTCCTGAACCAAGCCCTGGGCTCCCCCTGCTTGCTAAAACACCACCAGGGATGTAGGACCAGGGTTAAGGCACCCCACCCTACCTTTCACCAGGGAAGTAGCTGGCTTGGCATTTCCTGGGGGCTCCCATGCCACTAGGAGCCCCACCAGACCACCCTTCCCCAACAGGGTGCAGTTTTACATCTTACCCAGGACAAGGGCTTACCTCCTCCCCATAGTCCCTGCCCTTGCCTCCCAACTCAAGCTGGAACAGCCTCTCAGCCTGATGTTTCCTCCTTCCTTTCTACAGCAAACTGAGCCCAGTTTATATCCCTGGGTCCAAAATGGCTGCACTCATCAGGCACCTCGCTGCTACCTGTTTTCTGCCCTTAAAGTGGCAGACACCAAATGTGCCTTGCCACATAATGCTTCTTGTAAGGTTAGTGCTTAACACTGGGAAAATAGTTTGAGCACCAACACATTCACCTCACCTAAAGGTCACCAGACAGTCATCAGACAGTAACATGATCCAGTGAGTGAGAGGCTCAGGCTGGATTCCAACTATCGATGCACAGAGCAACAGCTTTGCATATGCTACCTGTCCTATGAGCTATCAAGGTCCTTGGGAAAATACCAGGAACAAAGTTCACTCTGAGCTCCAGTGGTGTAAATCTGGAGTGACGTCATTCAAGCCAAATGAGGTAGTTTAGATTAGCTGCAGTGGAGTCAGGAAATCTGGCTCTGAGTCTCATCAGAGGATTGGCTCCAGTTATTTGCATTCAGGTAGCAGCCCTTACTGCCCTTCATGCAAACTGCTGCCACAGCAGCTATCATGGTGGGGCAGTCACAGTTACTAGCGAAGAGAAAGCATTCACCTGAGATTTTCCTCCAGCTCCATCCACAGCTAAGGTTACTGACAGAGCACAGCAGATCACATGGATTTTGAAAAAGGATCCAAAGAAGTTGCTGCAGCCCAGGGCAAGCATCTCCTGTGTAGATAAGGGGAATAGGCTTGTTCAGGAGGAACAAAACATCATCTTCTTGCCCTCTCAATCAGCTCCATCTGGCAGCACTTTTACAGGACAGGGAGAAATATGTCACACAGGGTTCCCTTCCACCTCTCATGTGGGTTGCATTCTCTCTGCAGAGATCTGCCACCCTGTCCCATTTCTGCCTTTTCCCCCAGGCTCTTCCCTGCCCCAGGATTGCTCCTGCCAATCCCAGGGTTATCCTGAATTTTCTGAGTCACCTCTTCCTGTGTATGGGAAAAGGGCAGATCAGGGGGATTTCTTTTGATCGGCATGCAAAGTGTTAATAAGGCTTTGTCTGCAGCAGGCAAGGAAAGGAAAACTGTGGCATGCCTGGCTGTTATTGAAAACCATCATTGTGCTTCTGAATACAAGGGAGGATCGTTTTTTGTCCTGCTTCCTGCAGTATCCAGGCAGTCTCCAAGGAATCCAGGACTCTCAGCTGGAGCAGCCACAGGCCTTCCCTCATTACATTCCAAAGAAATGAAAAAAACTTACTACATGAGTCTTAAGGGACAGAGCCCTGGCTCATGGAAGTAGAGGTAACTACTGACTTCTGTGGAGCCACATTGATTTTCACCTGCTGTGGGCATGGCCTTGAAGAGGCAATTCTAACATCAGAAAGGGTCCAGGAGTGCAAATGCGAAAGGTGTCCAGGAGCTGCTGATCCTGGCTCTGTTCTCATGATCCCTGATTATGCAGTGGTGCACTGCAGCTAACTTCAGTCTGACTGCCTGTGTACACCATCATATGTGAAAGCAGACTTGGTCTCAGTAACACTCCCATCATTCAAAGACTGGGTCATTTCTGGTTTACAGCAGTGTAGACCCTCACAGTGGTGGCCAAACTATGCTACATGTATGTGGAGAGAGAATCAAATGGGAAGCAACCATGTTAGAAAACCGGGGTTGGAATGTGGGAAAGGATGTAGACAGAAACCTAGCTTAACTGGAGCGTGGTTTATTCTGCCCACTCAATCCAGGTGAAACCCAGGTTTCATCTTTGATTTCTTTTCTCTGAACACACATCAGTTTCAATGAACTGAGGAACTAGCTATAACCTTGACTAGACTTTTCCCATTCCACAGGGAAGACATTATGACGCATAGGTCAGCATTTTCACCAGTTCCAATTGGCATGTGGGGCATGTCCACACTGCACAATTCAGCCCTGTGTAGACATACCTGAGCTAGGTTGGGTCCCAGACACAGCATAGCAGTATTAACCTGGTGCTGTGCCTGGGCTGAGGTACCCTGCAACTCAGCCATGAGTGAAACCAGAAAGAGTGAGGGAAAATTGGGGAGCGAGTGGGATGGTGGTGGAGGGGAAGTAAGACATGACAATCGAACCCACGACTCCTTCCAGTTCTGAATCATCTTCCTCTGGCACAGAAAAAAATCTACCTGCAGTAACAGTGCACTTAGCCCCACATTGATCAGCAACCCTACAATACATCATTATGTACGGAAAGAAACACACATATCTTAAACAAACAAACTAAATTTTATGGCTTCCAAGTTGTTAAATAAACTCCTGCTTTCACACCTGTTGCACTCAGCAGTCTAGAGGACGATGCCACGACTGTGACGCTTAAGTAAATGTTACCTGGTTGGGGTCCACGTTGTAGCCATGTTTGGTTCCCAGGGTCCGTCCCATAGCCAGGTTGATCACGTAGCCAACAATGGCGAGCGAGAAAGCCGTGCCGATCATATCCTTCCACTTGCTCACCAGAGGGAGCACTGGGGCTGGGAAGCTGCGTCGGAGGAACAGAGGAGAAAAGTAATCAGTACTCAGAGGTGTGGAGAGGGACCCAATAGTGTAGGATTTTGGCTAATCTATACAGGGGCCACTTCATCCATCTCTTAAGTACAGCCATCTCTGGGAGAAACACAGCAGCTGTTTAACAGTGCACAGCAACACTGTGGAGAAGAAGTGAAGAATGGCACATCTCATGGAAGCTGTGGGGGAATTAAAGTGGGTGAATTCCAACTGGGATTTGCAGGATGCTGGGGTTCTTGCAATAAAAGGCTGGAAGATCTTGAATGACCACAGAGTGATAATTTGTAATGGCAGCAGGGCTAGCTGACTTCTCAGACTGGTGTCTGGAGAGGGCCCAGTCTTCTCTGAGCACTTACAAAGCACCCAGCAATACTCCAGGAAAAGGATTTTTCCCCAGGCTTAGATTGCATGGTGAAAGGCATGGCATACGAACCAGTATGAAACAAATCAGCAGCTCAGAGCAGGAAATGTCTCTCCGCTGCTTTCCCTAAATTAGTCCATTAGGCCACCATGTCATTACAATGATGAAGCTGTTCAAACACAAGACTGCGGTGCACAGTGCTGTAATTACAAATCACCATTCCTGTGCTGACATAATAAACAGGGATATAGCCGTGTCTAGGAAGTAACTTAAAAAGCACTTGGAAACTTGTGGGCTCCGATACATGTGCAGGGAAGCTGCTGTGACACACTATAATTATAGTGCATCGGAGCATGCTCTGTTAATCGAGTTGGCTGAAGCACGGTAATTACCGCACTCCAGCAGACTTCAGCATCACGGGTATCAGCATCCCTGCACTGAAAAATGGCAGTGGGATTCTTTAAACTAAAGCTGGTCTGATGAGCTTTTGTTCAAAGCACCCCACTGCCATTTGTCAGCACGGGGACAATGATACACGTGACTCTCCGGGCGCTTTTAATTAGTGCAACTCTCTGAGCTGCACTAATTAAAGCCTCCCTCCTGCCTCCCAGATCACATCTATAAATGCTCTGCAAGTCTTCAGTTAACATGGGTACAAAGATTCTTTGCAGAGCTGTGCAAAGCCACAGGATTCCCACCATATGGGAAATCCCAAAACGTCAGGTTGGCAATGCTAGAGAGCTTTTGCTGGTGGCCTCGCTCCTTGGCTGGTGCTCGCGGGAGGGGGGGCCACTGGTGCTTCTGCCTGCCTCACTGCCTGTCGCCTAAACAGGGAGCATGGCCTGACATGGGGTGCACTCTTTGGTGAGTGAGATTGCACCCCCCCCCGCCCCGCCCCCTCAGCACGATCGGCTACAGGGGACCTGCCCTGGGTCACTGACTGGTGTCGGGGTGGGGACCATGCCTCCCCTGACTCAAGAGGCACCAGCTGCCCATGCCATGGGGGATCCCTGGAGGAGGGCACGAGGGTTAAGAGTTAACCAGGGGAAAAGTAGCAAAGTCGGTGGGGAGTGGCAGACAGGGGGAAACAAGTGGTAATGAAACACTGTCCCCCTTTCTGCATTCCCCATTGTGGGGGTCATTGTCCTTCACAGTCTGTCATTTTGGGACATGGGCATCTGTATCACAGGCTGTAGAGATGGAGCCCCAGCAGGAGTAGCACTGGTCCAGAGGGAAGGAGCCCTTTGCGAGTTCACATACTTACCCCATGCTAATCTTCCCAACTACTGGCATGTGGTATTTCTCAGGCATGCCCAAGCAGCCAGAGATTGCAGTGGCTACTATAACCTATAATGACAGAGAGAAAAGGAGAGAAGTAAATGGAAGGAGCGGGATCCATGGCCAGCACTATCTTCACCTAGCATTCCAGGTTGGCTATACCAGTGCTTACTGCAGTAGAGAACAAGATGCTTGAGGTCAAAGCCCATCCTGTCCTAAGTAGGAGAAAAGTCTCCTCTCTTCCATGTGAGTTGTGTCCTTTTATGCCAGGACTGAGTTTGCCTGGAGAGCTGCCCCTCTTCTGAGGCACTCAGGATATAACATCCTGCCTTACTAGGTATCAGTGTATGGGGGCACTAGAATCCAGCCTCTTTCGCTGCTTGCCTTGAAGATGCACCTTCCTGAGTAGGCTGGCAGGAGCTAAGGGGGTGATTTCCTTTCCTGGGAGCAAAGGATGAATGAAATTGGGATCACTTACTATGATGATCTCCATTGGGATAGGCACCCGGATCTTCTTCATGTACTTGAGGTTCAGCTCTTTCACAATAATCAGGAGCACAGCGCTGACCAAGGCATAGACCAAGGAGGCCACATTGGTCTTGGGGAGGTTCTTGCAAATATCGATAAAAGTCTAGAGGGGAGAGAGGAGAGAGCTGTCATTGAGGCGTAGAGAGGGGCCAGGGACCAGGCAGAGAACACCCTGCCAGATGCACCAATGTCCATAAAGAGCAGGCACCAAAGTGCCCAGTAGTAGAAGCATCAGCAGAAGGTGCAAGACATCCCAGGGATAGAATAAGCTGCCTGGTGAGAAGGTTTTATGGTCCCTAACTAATTAGAGATAGGTGCCTACCCCAGCACAGGAGGATTCATATTCCTTGTGAAATGGTCAACCCTCTTAAGTCTACAGTAACCTGTAATTCGGAGCTGTCAGCCAAGGGCTAAGTATGAATTATGTTTTTAAGCAGTGCATCCATAGCCCAAGTCCCCCTTGGTACAAGCAGAGGGAGCTGGGAGCAACACAGTCAGGTACGCACTCAGCCCTCTGCTTCTATCACCATTCAGTAGTGGTTTGCATAGAATTGGCAGCATGCCCCAGAGAGATGACTTACGTAGACAATAGCGAGGGGCCCGGTGTAAGCTGGGACCTTCAAGCCAAAGACGTACTTGAGCACGGAGATGAGGATCTGGAGCCCTGCTGCGGTCATGAAGCCCCTGATGAAAGATTCTGAGAGGTAGATGGCTACAAAGCCAAACTGCACAAAGCCCAGGCAAATCTAAGGATGGACAGACAGACAGGTCACTTTGAGGAGCCACTGGAAACAATCCATCCCCAAAGGGCATCTTTCAGTTTGTTCATGGAGAGATGCTTCATGTACCAGACTGGCTTCTCCAGTGTAGAGCACCTGGTTAGTGCTGTGTCATGGGTATAGCCTGGACACAGAGCAGGTGTAACTGGCCCATGGAGACTCAGCCCAGAAAGGAACAAAGAGCCCATGTGGAGGCTTCTCTCTGACCTCCACCCTCCTCCTGGGATAGGAAAGAACAAGGGAGTGCCTGGAATGCTGCTCTGTGCAATCCTTGGTTGTGACTTTGGTGCTTGGGCTTTTATGTAGCTCTCTGATTACTCAGACATACAAGTAGCTCTGCATAAAGGATCAGGGAAGTTTTGTGCCGCTGTGGACAACCCCATCCCCTGATCCTGGATCTGCACTGAGAATGGCTCAGCCAGTCACCCTCTGAATATGGGCAGGGGAAAACCAGCATGGTCACCATCTCACCATGGTCCTTAGCACACCCCTGGCCTCCTATGGCTTCCCCTTGGGCATTGCCACAAGCTTAATTCACTCCCACCATATGCATTCTATTCAAAATGTCCTTGGAGTGAAAATAGACCAGCAATTGTGAGCTGCAAACCATGACTAAAGAATGGAGACCTCAGCATCTTTCTTTTCTGTTCAGAAAAATCTATGTAGGCTGGATTTTTCTATCTAGCTCCCTACAGTGGGGCCCATGACTGCAGGAACAGAGGTCCAGCAGGTTTGAAGTGCTGCCCAGGACCACAGGCAGGTCAGGACCATGGGTCCTTTCCAAATGCTGTTTCCAGGTGCCACCAGCTCAGAAACAGCCCCAGTTCCTGCCCATGCTGCCTCTGTCATCTCCAGCCCCAGATGACAAGCACTTGTCCTGCAGGAACAGTCAGTGTCTAACCTCACAGGGGTGCTAGGCTAGACCCAAACAGGGAATAGATTCAAGGCAAAGGCATTCTTACTTGTATTATGGCCGTCAGACAAGCTAACGTGGCTGAGATCTCCAGTCTGGCTGCCTCCATGGCAGTGTTGTTGACATGTATCTCATTGGTGGTATGGTTAAAGTACTGGAAGTCAGACTCAGGAGCCAGCTCATGGCAGACATTCCCAACGATAATGCTGATGACTGCAAAGGTCCCTTCAGGTCAAAATGATAGCATCAGTGACTGACTTTTATACAGATCATCCCATTCCATAATGTGTCTTAGACTGTCCACCAGGAATCACCCACCCTGCAGTGCTGTCATCTCTATGTGGGGAAATGGCAGCAGTTTATCAGGGCACCGTGATGCAATATGGCAAGCACCAGGAATTGGGTATGTTTCCTAATGCCCCAGGGAGCAGACCTGATAAAGAGCACTGTCCCTGGGGATCTGGCAGAGCCAGAGGAACTGCCCTTGACAAACAAATGGACTTGGGCTGCATTCAAATCCAGAACTGGAAAAGGGGAACTTACCTGGGACCATTTGGTGGATGCCACCAAGGATGAAGTATGTTATCAAGGGGAAGAAGGAGGAGTAGAGCCCATTGACAGGAGGGAGATTGGCCAGTAGTGCAAAGGCCATGCCTGAAAAATACAAGTGACACTGACTTCAGATCAGATAGCTAAAGTAAATCTTCTGTGTTCCCTGGGGATGGTCCTGCTAGGTCAGAGCAGTAGGCCAGTCAAGTCCAGTAGCTTGTCTCTGACCGTGACTAGGTGCTGCAGGAGAAGAAGCCAAAACGTCCATCAGAGACTGTAATGGAGTATGCTGATACAACCAGGCAGCTGGATCTGCAGTCCTGAATACAGAGGCAGGACCCATGCCAACTCATCCTGTTAGTGGGACTTAGAAACCTCCACCAAGCTGCTGAGTCAGTCCTGCCAAGGCACTGTGGCAAGTGCAGTTTACTAACTCTCTCCAGATATGAGAGAAGGATGTGATCCTCTGGGGACCCATGAGGAGAGGAAGAAAGGTCCTACAGGGAAACAAGGAAGAGCCAGATGTGAGGGGAAAGAAAGCTTAGCCTGCTGCTAAACTGACATTTTGTTACTTCCAATAATGCCAAGCCTAAGGGATGAAACCTATCATGTAAGGACTTGATCAGAGCAAGGCCCTTGAATGGTCAGATGCTATGGTATACTGCAGCTTGATAAGAAGCTGTAGTATCTTCTCATCACTGTTTGTGGGGGAAGCTGCTACACCATGCCCAAATGACAGAGAAAAGGAACATCTTCTCACCTTGCGGCACTTGAATTGTCCCTGCACTGAGCCCGCCGAGAACATCGGGCAAAATGTAGTCCTTGATTTTGTATTTGGGGAGCCAGACGAGTATGGGGAACAGACTGTAGAGGATGATTTTGCATCTGGATGATGAACATCTAGTGGAGAAAGAGACATGAATTTAGAAAGAGGAGCTACCCAGGATGCAGTTCTCCTCTGTTGATAACCATGGTCCTGGGTCTTTTAGGCAGGCTTAACGTGCCACTCATCTGATGTAGTAGTGTTTTACACCCTGGTTTCGATGTTGACACAAGGAGCATGGCAAAGATGCACAGACCCTTTGGGCTTAGCTGTAATGCTGTTGTTAACCATGCAGAAGAGAGAGAGAACCAGAAGCATTTATCCAAACCAGCCTCAAACTCTGGAGGAAAGGCAGCTGGATCAAGATTGGTCCTAGGTCAGTTTTTAAAACATTTGTTCAATTCTGCTTCAACCAGCGGTACAGAGGGAGAGGTTTTTCAGGGAACACCTCTATTCAGCATGGAATGAGCATGACACGTGTTGGAAAAGGAAAGTGGATGACTGGGATTAGTGTCTAAGCCTCAGTATATGGTTAGATTGTCTTCCTGTTTCTGAAAAGAATGCATAAGGTTTCCAAAGCAGTCCAGCGGATTTAGACGCATACCTGCTATTTACATAAGATCTGAATCTAACTCCCGTCGCTGCTAAAAAATCTCAGCTGTTATCGGTCTCTAGTGGTTAAAACGGACTGGGACAGAAGTCTTATTCCCACTTAGATTATAAGGCTTTGAGCAGTCATTTAACCTTCTTTTACCTCAATGTCTGCAAGACCCTTTTAGATGCTTGAAAAAGAAAGACGTTTCCTATATACATGCAGATCAGTATTAGGAGGTCAGACTGGCTTTCATCTTTTCTGGTTATATGGCATGCTGTGTAGACTGATTATGTGGATTAAAAACTGTAAACACCATTTACGTTTTGATCAGACTACAAAACCAGGGAGATATATTCATTACTGGGCTGGCCTTAATCTCCAGTAGCTGAGATTATGTGTTTTTTTAACTCTATGCAATGCTGCTCTGTGCTTAAGGGAAGCATGATAGAAAGCAGCTCTTCCTTTGGCTTGTTCAGTGACTCTCTCCGCTTAAAAGAGCATTCACAGGAACCTGGATGCCACCTAAATCTGAAACCAACACACAGACCCTGAGGCTTAGGCTTGGAAGCTTGCATCCTCAAGTCTCCAAAGCCCAGAGAGTGCCTCCCATGGCACTCTGCAGCACCTGTCCACTCAAAATACCAGTGCTCAGCTAGCTAACAATTTCCAGGTCCTGATGCCCAGCTATTGCACTCCTGTGTGAGGCTGCGGGCTGTGGTCTGGGGGCAGAACTGTATGTGAGTTCAGGGAGAGCTCAAGTAGCTTGAAGCCCCCTTTTTCTTTACCTGTATTCTGGGACCTTCCAGGATCCTGTCCAGCCCCCTCTATTAGAGCATACATAAGGCTGGCCCACAATATGGCCGGGGAAGTACAGAATAGCCATTTTGGCCATGTGCTCCGCCACTCTCTGGATCCACTCTGGTGACTATGAGAGACCCCCAGATGCCAGCAGGAGAGACCCCCAGATACAGCGGATATTCCTGCGAGGACATCTCAGACAATTTTAAGGCTCCTTTATACTGTCAAGGCTGGAAAACTCTGCCTTCACGTAACTAAGAATCAAAGTCCTGGCTCCCTGCTAGCACCCGACTGGGTGACGGTCAGGGGGGGCTGACCCAAACAGAAAATTGAGAACCAGCAGAAATGTTCATCCAAAATCCAAACAAAAATGCACTTAAAGTTTCATAGATACTCAGCAGCAAATAAAGCCACCACGTTTCTGTGGCCAGAGAAAGTTTCCTCCTTATTACCACATGGCAGATTTGCTTATCTCTCTGATAACCTTCACTTTTTGTCTTTCGCAATATTTGTTCTCTTGTAGGGCGGGGAATTGGAGCTGAAGCACCATTTCCAAGACAGTAATTTCCAGGATCATTCTTTTCTGGAAAACGTCAGTATTTATTTTGGAATCAGACAACTAACTAAAGGAATGTTGCCTACAAAGTCTGTAAAAAATAGTACACATAGCCTTACTTATGTCATCTATAGCATTTTCTGATTCCTAAAGAGGAGCAAAACAGCTAGTTTACTTGTTACTAGTCATGCAGGTTGTTTAATCTTGCATCTGTTTCACCTCATGCAATAGAACCGGCTATTATGTCTCACTTTGCAATACTGCTTGGTGTTTCTTTATCCATCAAGAATCTGAGGATTCTGGGGAAGATTTCCAAAGGTATAAACGGTAGTTAAGCTACTGGTTCCTCCTGACTTTTGGCTGGAATTTTTTGCCTAACCACTCTTTATGCCTTTAAAAACTCTCCCTCCTCATAATCGCTTTCTGGTCAGTCTCCTTTTTAGGTGCCCAGTCCCAGCCCAAGGCTGCAATACCTGGACTGTAAATGCCAAAGAATAGCAGTGCTCAAAATCTGGCCCATGGGGCTGTGTCGTCTGGCCCCTGGAGCTCCCCATGGGTCCAGAAATTTGGCAGCATTAATTATCATAGCTTTCATATGCTAGATGGTACAGTCCCACAAGCTAGATCAGGCCAGTGCACACAATCACTCTGTGGCCATGCATAGCCACCTGCATGCTAACCCCATGCAACCCCATGCTGGAACTAGCTCACATACTGACCCCAGCCCCAAGCCACTCATCCAGTCCACAAAGCCAGAATGTGGAGCACCACTGCCACAGGAGAACATTTATTGCCTTAAAATATCTGGTTTTTGGCAAATTTGTTTAGTTCCCACGAAACAGGTTGATCATAAGAAAAGCCTAAATGCTGATCCATACTTGACCTGGTAGCATACTCCAGAGAGTGTCTATAGCTTTCAACATTACCTGAAAAGGTTTTTCAATTTTTCTCCCAGTGGATAACTTCTGCTTTTCTTCTCAAACTCCTCATCGAAGACCCCAACAGAATAGGCAGGACGGTCGATGACATAGCGTGGCCTAGTTTGGTTCATCCTCGTGTCATTTAAATCCTTCCAAGGTTAAAAAAACAAACAAACAGAAACTGGACTTAGCAGTGGTGGCCAGGCCACCAAGTTAGGTTCTAGCCAAGAGGAGGAAATGTGACTTGTTATATCCTTTTTAATCCCAGCGTTGAGGGACTCCTCCTGATTGAATATTCCCTCCCTTAAATACCTCCCTTCTCCTTCATAGGCATGCTTCTAGAGGAGTGGCTTATTTCTGGGATGGGTCATCACGTCTCAGGCTAAGGAGGTTTTTGTCATCTGTTCCATAACGATGCTAATAACTGTGTCAGTATAACCTAGGAGTGGGTACTAGAAGTGCTGGGTTCTAATCCTGACTCTGCCAGTGACTTGCTGTTCAGCTATGGGCAAGTCACTTGACTTTTTCCAAGACTCCTTTTCACCAGGTTGGGTGGGGCTAGCCGTGCTTCACAGGCTGTACATCTGTGGGCCACGTGCAGCGGCACATATTACATGCTTACACCTACGTGTCCATTTACATTCAGGATCCTTAATGTTCTGCATTGGGAATTAGACTCACTGCTTGTCCTTGATCATTGCCATGGACTGATTTCTTATGAGAGCTGGGAAGATTCTTGTCCCACACAGACATGTAGCAGTGGCTGACCTAATTGAATGATAATGATGCCAAAATGACCTGTTTGACCAGTTCTGTTGGGTGCTGAGGTGTCACAAGGGGAAGTTAATAGATACCACAAGGCTCAGACTTTATTATAAACAGTACCATCAGAGGAAGGGGGAGACCCATTATGAGTGGATGAGCTGGGGATGGAGGGAGGAAGTGGACAGGTATGAAACAAAAATTAAGAAAGGTATTTTTGTCTGGTATTTATTCAAGTATGTCATTGTCCAGTCCACAAATAAAGGAGGTGATGGGAAAGAAGCTGCTATTTTAGGGAGCATATATTATCGTGAAATGAATCACAGATAGCTGAAAGCTCATTGTGTGTGTTGGATATTTTGGGAAAATCCTTCCCTGGAATGAACAGACACTGTTTCCAGTCACTTGAGTGGAGCCACACAGATTTTTCCCTGGACCATTGTTTCAAGAGATGAAGCACAACTGGTCCTGACTTTGGCAGGGAAAAGTCTTTTCTTTTGAACTTTGAGCTTTACATAATCGTAATCCACACTCAGGCAGGTGGCAGTTTTCATCTAGATCCCATTTTATCAGATGTCTTATAGGAAACCTAATATAAGGGTCTGGATTTGACTCACCCCGTGACAGGCAAATTAACAATGGTTTTTCTGTTGCTAAACATCACTACCTGGATTTTGGCTTAGAGCCATTTCACCAAAATTCTGGGATTGATGCACAGGATTTTCTCCTGTTAAACATTCTGGTCCTTTTTCATCCCTGGTATAACACTGTTCAGGTCATTGGATGAGTTTGGACTTCTTTAATCTCCATGTGTTTTCTGCATCAGCTTTCTTTCTGGGGGGCAATCTCTTTTGAGCCTTTCTTGTGAATGGTGAGATCAGACCCCTTGTCTGACTGCGGGCTGTAGGTCTGTGCCAGTAATCTGGTCACACATGCCAAGAGAGGGTTATCTCTGCCTGGGCATGTACCAAGACGTGACATTTCAGGTAGGAAAGAGGCTAGTGATGTGGGCAGAGTATAAATGGCATACCCTGACTCCTGTGACAAGTACAAGGAATCGTCAGTGATGGGACCTCGTCAGCACTAGAAAGAATTTGCTAGCAGCGCTTCATGGAGAAACCTTTCTGGTGCAGACAGTCAATACTGGCAAGAAGAAGCTTTTACCTGGATAGGTCCTATTGGATCCCCAAATAAAAGAAGCTATACTAGCATCATGACTGTTGCTGGTATAAAAATGTCATTTAAATCATCCCCTGCTGTATGGGCAGAAGTTTTTAGTGCAGAGCTGGGCTGGACCATGTTTTTGCCTGGTTCAAAAGATGCCACCTCCACAGCACAGCACCTCCTAGCAGCATTCCAGGGCATTGTCTCAGGACTGGCTCAGACCAAAAGAGAAGTGTTTTCCCTTGAGATGTCTCCAAGCCCAGTCCCAAGAGTGCATGAGATCCTGGCCCAAGGTGGCACAGCTGCAGGCTACCGGATTGCACCTATCAGTGCCTTGCTTGCACAAGCATCTGTTGTTTTAGGGTGCTTATACACGTGGCAGAGTTTTAGTCCTCAGGGTTGCATTCTGTGCCCCCTAAATTGAAATGATGAGTTTTGTTTTTTCTGTCACTGTATATATGTCATTGTCATGGTGGCCACAGGCGCCTGCTGAAGGCAGAAGCAGCGAAGGGCCCCATCCTTTTTCTTTCTTTTTTTTTTTTGTCAGAGCTTGCCTACCTCTCCCATGGCTGGTGGGTCATTAATCTGTGCCATTAACCTGTCAGCTTGCCTTCCAGCCACAGGAGAGGCAGACAGTCTACGCTGAAAAAAAGGATTGGGGCCCCACACCACTTGTGCCTTCAGCAGGTTCCTGTGCCCAGCAGGATGCCTGGGGCTGCCTGGGAATGGGCTGGCTTGCCCCTGGGGCAGCACAGGGGGATGGCAGGAGGGTGGCAGGGTGCGCTGGGGGTGGGAGAAGGCGGCAAGGACGACACATGAGGTGCTGGAAACCCAGGCAGGCTCCAGGGAAATTACAGCAGTGCAATCAAAACTACATTGGGATGTTGTTTAGTTTGCAACGATGCAAACTCATTTAAAACCCCCAAAACGTGCATACATGTAATGTGTGACAGCATTAAGCCACACAAAACAAAATTTTCGTCACGTGTACATCGTGAAATCATTACATGTACAAACACCCGTAGCCTCCAAAGCTGTGCCTTCCCCAGGCTTTATCCAAAGACAATGGGTCATTTTTATAATAGCAGACCTGAGGATGCAGGTGGCACTGGTGAGCCTCGGTTACACTGCAGCTGCCAGACACCCCTGTTTTCTTTGCAGCACTTTCTTCCAGGAAGCAGGCTAAGGGCACGTGGGGATTTTGCAGTTGTTTCATTAATTTCCCTGACCTATTTGGCCCTACCCATGCTGCCTGTCATGAGCCAAGAGTCTCCTTCATGGAGTGTGTATTGAATATGGTCTGGTCCTATCACCACTTGCTCCTGAAACATTTTCAGTTCTAATAGAAGTATGGGTAAATGGGGATCGAGGCCTGCAGGTCCATTTCTGTGTGCAGACGCTGTCTCTTATGGAGCAAACAATGGTGACACTGGCAGAGTCATGAGTGAAAATATCATGCCAAATGCATTACAAACCTATAACCTAACCCTGAGGGGGCCTGAGCTCTCATAACTCCTGGTTTTCACCTTTCAGGCACTGCATGCCTCAAGGAAAGGGTCATGTACCTGCCAGCCAAAATCTTGGCCTCGCTGAAATCAAGGGGAATTTTACCACTGAGTTCCTCGAACTTGGGATTCATCTGCAAATGTTTGCCTACAAGAGTAATTTTACTTCTAATGTAGCTGCCTCTGGGTTGGAGCCTGGTTGATTTTATGTGCTTCAATCTAGCACAAGAACCCAGGGCAGGAAGTAGAGCATGATGCATACGGCTGAAACCGCCTAGGGAATATAGGTCAGCAAAATAATTACTCTGAAGGAAACTTGGCCAGGGCACAAATGTTTGCTAGCAGCCCAACTATTGCAACAAGTGCCACAAGAGCATTAATGATCACACTTGGCACTGAGACTTTGGTTTCACCCATCACTCCAAGCCACAGCTCTTCTGACAGCATGTGCTCCCAATACCAAGCCCTGCTGTGAGCTAACTCAGTCAGGTGAGCAAGGCTTTCCACACAACTCAGGCCGTCCTCGGCAGATCAGCCATCTTAGCGTGGACCGCACCTGGCTCAGGTGATAGGACAAGGTGTCAGGCAACAGCAGTAAGAGCTCCTCCCTGAGGGCATCATTGCTTATTCACGGCAGTGCTGGCCAGAGGTCAGCACTCCGGCTGGCATGAGCTCTGTTGTTTTTTCCTGTTAAGATTGAAATCTGGCTCAGGTTCACCCTAAACACCGTCCATGCTTGCCCCAGGCTTTGGTCTTAGGCAGGACTCTCAGTTTCTTTTTGGCTTATTCCAAACTCTTTTTTGACTCCCCCCAGGACTGACTTCAGAAACTTCCACCCCCCGCCTCCAGCCTTGCTCCATATTCTCATTGCAATCTGAGTCTGCTGCAGAGTGCCCCGACCCACAGATCTGCTCCAGCTTTCCAGCCCTGTCCTGCCCACCCAGGGTCCCTCTGAATTCTCAGCACCCCCCACCTCGCCCATACTTTCTCCTGGATAGTACTTTCTGGCTTCACCGAGATTCCCAGTTACCCCAGCTGGGGCTTGCTTCAGCTCCCCAGTCCCCTGCTGATCCCTCTAAAACACAAGTGGAGCCAAATGACTCTAGTCTCAATGGTCCTGGCTTGAGTTTCAGGCACGTGAGACTCTAACCCTCTCCTAGCTTCATTTCTCAATCCTGTTGCTCACCAAGTAACATGCCTGCCCTCAGAGGGACTGCATTAGTTAGTTATATCACAGCCCTTTAATGAAGTTCTTCCTGCTGAGCGAAAGTGCTGGCAAACAGGAGAAATAATAAACAAGGCAAGTATAAGGGAGAAAATATCCGTAGGATTAAACTCCATCTTAAACAAACAGGCTGATGATGTCAGCATCTTGGACGGAGTCAAGTTCTTGAGTTGGCTTATCAATGGCCTTGCCCTAGATCAAACAGCGGGTTAAACCTTTGAGATTTCAGAGCTAAAGAGCAGCAGCCATGTGACTGCACGGTGAACAAAAGGTGAAGCCAGCTGTGCTGGAGCTGCTGGAAAAAGATGGGGTGAACTGGGCATGTGGTTTAGTGCTAGAATAAATCATGATGCCAAGCAGAGGCAGTGCAGCCGGTCTGTGGGAACCATAGCAGAAAGGCTGGAGAAAACCGTAGCGCTGCCACACGCTACTTTGTTTACTTGCGGCCAGCTTCCATATATGCAGGCACTCAAATAAGGGACTGGATTTTCAG